GACAGGCAGAGGCGGCATAATGTGATAATTACGAGTGTGGAACATTTACTGTTAACCACTACACATTGATTGACTTGACCTTTTTTAGTAGGCTGACACCATCGCATAGGTCAATGCCCTGTAAATATTTAAGATCAGATACTGAAGGATTCGTGATGGGAAGAAAGAGGAGTATGTTAAGAGGTGATTAAATTCTTAATAAAATTCCCCGTTCTATACATCATATATATATCATTTTAGGATAGCATAGAATATATATTAGTAAATATAAAGTTGTCGCTGTATGAGATGTAAGTTGACTTCGAATAGGGATGTTTTCCAAAGATTTTCTTATGGACCTATCCTCCGAATGACCATAGCTTAGTAGAAAACGTAATCACGTTTTCACAAAATGAGACCATAACTTCTCGTTTGTGGAGTGTATTTTACAGACTGTACACACAATAAATATATCCAATTATGCTTTTCTTTTATGTTTTTGGTGCACATTATAAGAAATTTTGTTCGGAAGTAGAAAGTTCAGTTCATAACCACTCGACTTCTGTTATCAACGAGAAATTAAAAACACAGTTACACAGGACATACCGTTCTGAACTATAACTGTGCTTTACTCATTTTCATATCCCCATCTAAACAATCATCACAGATGAAGTACCGTCAATTCGGAAGTCCACTCAAACTGAAACGATAACTGATTTGGAACATTATCCGATGTCAGCAGCCCCCACATGGAAGTCCGAGGACGAATTAGAACAGTTGGTTACCGATGCGCAAGAACAGTTGGAGAACTTGCGTGAAAACACGGACGAAAAGGGTCGACTAAACGATGAAACTCTGATTCGGTAGGCTGTTTTGCAGAGAATTTTTGGGATCAGGAATGTGTGAACGCTGTGGTGGACTTATGTATTGTGATGACTAAATGGGTTAAACATCTCGTTGCCTTTTCGCACTTAGAAGCCTGCATTGCGTTTCTTTTGTATAGAAGGCTTTCAAAGTGTTCTACCGTATCTCAGGGTGTTACTGATTAAAACATTTGATATCTCCTTGTCCAACAGGAAGACAAGCTCCCAATGAGAAACTCACTACTTGGAGTGAGAATGAAAGGTGTCAAAAACAAGCAGTCCAATGAGATACCGAATTATCTGGATCGCAGTATTTATGCAATTTCGGAGATTGTTTTACTGCTGTGGTAAAGAAAATTAGGAGAACAATAAATGAATCTTCATCCACAAAGTGACGCTGCCATTTGGGATAAATTTCCATGCAAAGATATCCTCACAGAGTCCTATAGGATCAGATGCCGAGATAGGCGATTTCCTGCTTGTTTTGTGCTTATGTATTGCGGAAACTTCACAGTGTTAAGCAATATAGAAACATTTGCGCACACAGATCAAAGGCGATGGTTTAGAATTCTGGTTACTGGTGAGTAATTCGTTTTGTTCGCAGAAAGATTCAACATTCTGTTTGAAACCAACTACCGTGCGTGCGCTAACAGTTACAAACGGTTGTCATGTCATGCAGGTTCAAAGAAGTAAAACTGTAAAGCATAAATAAGTTGTTTACAGCGATGCTGATTCTTTGCAATGCGGTTCGATACTTGCCTGAACAAAAAGTAATTGGAAGGATGTCAATCATGATCGGATTGGAGCCTGGGAGAAGTGTTTGATAGCCCTAGTCAGAGAACCGGTCATAGAGTTTGGTCTGAGAAGTAGAGAAAAGTATGCCTATGGTAAAATAAACTAAATGATTTAATTTTTTAAACATTTCCACTCATTTGCACGTCACTGATCGTTCCTATTCCACCGAATTTTTATGATAAGAATCTATCTGCCTATAGTTTGTCCCTTTTTCTTTTGGGTCTTTCATTCATCGCATAAATAGTAAAAAGGAATAACGAAAAATTAAGCCAGAAAGTGCGATGTTTTTCAAAAACTGTTCTGCAATCAATGGAAATTTGTGGATCGATATGCTTGTATGTCATTTAAATAATCTCTACAGAATAAATTGTTGTTCAAATTCATACTCCAAGGTCACAGAGATTCTTGTTATTAGCATCAGGCAGTTAATCTTGTTTCTTTATATTGTTCATTGGAACGCGATAGATTAGTTGGGTTTATGACATGACCCTTAGACAAACAGTTAAGGGAATACTGTTCACTTTCAAGAAGTTCAACCATTTCTGAAAATCCCTATCCAGTTATTTTAGTAAACACGATTTGCCCATAGGAATAGCTGGATTCCTTATCGATTATAATCAGTTCAAACATTTACACGAACCATTCTAATGCAGGATTCATCTACTTCCACAACAAAGTTATTTAGGCCTATGTGGTCCTATTCCGCAATTGTAGTAAGAGTAGAGTAGCTGTGTTGAAAAATCAAAATTTAAAAATCTCAGAAATAACTACAGACAGAACGTTTTTCCACGATTGGTGCCATATTCCTTTCTGGAGATATTTTTTTGTTGGATTATTTAAGCATCCCGCAAGCAAACATGATTTACAGATTCTGGAAATGTTCCAGAAGGATAATTGATAGAAATTGGTACTTGAAGTAAATTTTACCCCGAATTTTTAATTCAATGAACGTTGAAGAAACTTACACGATTGTTTTAAATTTTGTAGACAAGAATGTTTGAAACCAGAGAGTTCATTGTTATTTACTGATTGAAATTTCACAAGGTTAAAATTGTGCTGTATGCTGCTTCAAATTTCCGTTGACTTACAATCATTTCAAATGTGAATGGATTTATGAAACACGAAAGTTTGCAAAACCTATTAGGAGTCCAAATTATTGTTACCCATACAGGTACTTTATGATTTCAATCTAGAATATGTCGTTATCAAATCTGTTCTTGAAATTTTCACACTCTAGGAGTTGAAGAAGAGATAGAAAGATAAATTCTGGTATGCATACATTATTACTATGGTCACATACAGGCTACTGTGATAAAGAATCTGGAAGTGATCATTGTAGTACACGTGACGGGTGAGTAGGTGGCGCGGGGGGAGGGGGGTGGAGACACTGAACGCGTTTAACAAATGTCGTCGATCCCTTGACCAAAATCCCTCCTCCTTTTATATGCTCTTCTAAAACTCCTCAAAGCAATCGGTCCATTATGGAAGATATTGTCGAGGAATGATGCTCCACATTACTTCGTGGTTCGCTTGTGGGTGCTTAATTTTAAAACAGTGTAAAACATTAGATCAAATACAGTTTTACACGTTTTAGTCGGTTAAAAGTTTTCAATATCCGAATATGAAAATACAGACATTATTCTAACAGTAAACAACTTCACTTTTCATCAGTGAGTCTTTACTGACAATCGTCGACTGAACCTGAAATTTCATAGATCAGGAACACAATGACAACACAATTCCTATACCGTACGTAAAGGACTCTATTTTATGGCGTACGTGTAATGTTAAGGTTTAATACGTCGATCAATTTTTTGATCAAATCAACGCAGACATTTTCAGGACAAACGTGGATAAGAACAAATTACATCAAAAGTGTCTTAAGTAGATGTCTATCTACACTATGTAGATTATATTTTTGTCATAAACAAAGAAACAATCAACGTCAAACGACTGATACAGAAATTCACTCAGGCAAATAGCCCCAAACAATTCATTTTGAAAATGAAGAATTAAGGATCTACATTATTTCTTGGAGTGTTAACTTCGATGACGAAAGATGGTTCAGTTCTGAGCAAGAAATATAGAAAGAGTAATTCATAACGTCCTACGGTGCAATAATTGTCAGCTATTGGTATAATTAAATCCACTACATGACCAACTTGGCCAGAACGATTTATCTCTCTGAAAGAAAAAAATGAAGTGAGTTGGATTAGTTACGGGATGAAGGACACCTCGATACGTTCGTCGATCTATATACGAAATGGATTACTCCAAAGTATAAGGCCCACATTAAATCTGACAAACGAATAAGCCTCGTTTTACCTCTTCCGTATCAATGAAGTTGTCAGAACTGGAGACTTCTGAGCAATGGAGAGTACCTCAGTTCTGCTGAATAAAGGATGCTTTATTCGGTTTGACCGGTATTCTCTTGAATATTCGATGTTCATCTACAGGCTTATCTGTTTTGTATTGCCGGTCATACTGGTCTTACCATTCTGCAGTTGACCGAGGGAGTTTGATAGCATCACGCTGTGGCCGTCAAACAGGTTTACGAAATTCCAAATATGGATTGTAGAACAATCTATTCGTAGATGTCGAAAGATCATTCAGGGTAACCTGATGCACTTCAATAGGCTCTGTGACCAATTTCATTAGTTATCGTGGGAATGGGTGTTATCCGAATCCACCAGTGTGAGTTTTTCAGAACAACACCGGTTTAAATTCGCTTTGGCCTTATCAAGCGACATATTCATTAGGTGGTCAAATCGGTATGATGAATCAAGTCATCATTTGATTACACAATTCGCCTAATTTGTTTAATGTATCCGGAGTCTCCCTTCGTCATCCCGTATGCCCCAAGATAACTTCCACGATAACCTATTTTTACTATCGTGTGAACCGATATTGTCGTCGAATCCTGAGAATGAATAATCACAAATGATCTTTCGCTTTACCTCTTTCTTTTGGGTTACAACTGGACTTTCGCATCATTATTGCATCGAAGAACGATAAATCTACGCCAAATCCCAAAGAGTGTGACCATTCGGTACTATTCTCATAAAATATGCCCAGGCCAACATTCTTTCGGTGAGAATTCATTCAAAACGACCGGAATGAGGCGGAGCCTTTGAAATTGTCCGTGTCATTTTTTGTAATCGCTGGAGCTTTGATTTTTTTCATCACACAACCTCTAGATATACTTTCGTATCAGTTACGGTGACCTTAATGATTACCTACAACGCGCTGTTTGATTTCCGTACGAGTATCCATGGCTTATATCAACGAGTCGTCCTTACGTGCTTTTCCTCGTTTTGTGAGAAATAAGGTTAAAGGAATCACCAGAAATTCAATTGGTAAACGATGAAAACATTGCGCCGGCAGGAAAGTTGCACTGAAGAGCATTTCGTTTTCCTATCATTCTGTCGTGGAATGTCTACTCAATTCTTTCTAATCCATCGAATATCGGTTTTCTGATTCACTAAGAAGAGTACTCCAAAACTTGTGTGCTACTTTTCCAAGAATCTTAGTTAGAAGACTCCGTCGAGGACGAATTGGTTCAGATCGCGGACGTCCAATTATTTCGTGCAGATAAATCACCAGGAAGGAAACCTACAGGTGGCGGCGTCACCACATATGTGCGCCAGTCGTCGTGCAACTCCACCTGATGCATATTCATTCACTGTACACAAAACAATGCTAGTATTACCGTGTAATGTAAACCTCGTCACTTCGATCATCTTTTCAAATCTATAATTAACTCACAACTGTACTCCTATTGAGTTGTCTACCTTCCTGGATATATTCTATCCAATCATATTGGAGAAATCTGTCACATCTGTATTCATCGTTGCTGGCGAATTCAACAGATCGGATCTGTGTTTTTACACACTTATGTCCCTTCAGAACATTGTAAGTTTTTCCACTCAAAATGATGTCTCCTTGGACCAATTTTTCGTTATTGGACCTTTTTTCGTGTCTTCAAACGTGCATCAGTAGGCGATTCCGATCATTGGCTAATTAAAGTTTTGCCAACCATATACGGTAAATGCAAACGGCAAATCCTCACGAAGAACAATGCACTTAAGATACGTTTAGGACAAAATCATCTGGCCATTTGATGGAATTCAAATCCATGGTTGCCGGTACGGACTTACAACTACTCTCCGATCCTGAAATTTCAGTTTCCTGTGAGAACCTTACCAACTATCTCAACTATTGTTATGATGTGTACTGCCCTCAAGAAAGGATTCACTTACAGCACAACCGCTTCATCTCTGATAGACTGAAATAGTTACGTTATGAGAAGCGAGATAGCCCATCTCAATCAACTGCATCTTAAAATCGTGCTGGGAGACAAGTCATATCTGACGGCATGTCAGATATGAAACGGACTGAAGTTGCTCTGCTGTCATTCAACTTTACCTACTACAGTCTCATGTGATATCAATGAGCTCAACAAATCATTTGCTTCAGTGAAAAATGTGCAAACTTTACCGAGTCCAAATACAACGTCACTTGATTTCCACCTTCCAGAGACTGTTACAACAGAGCAAATTTTAAAGGAGTTGAATGCTGTCTACAAAAATAAATCCTCTGGTCCCGATGGGTTCTCCCCAGTGGTCCGAAACGCTTGCGCAAACCACCTCGTACAAACCGTTTCATTCATTTTTAATACATCTGTCAGTAGAAAGACTAGTTAACACATGGCGTGATGTTCACAGCACTCCAGTACCTAAGAAATAAAATGGTAAGTTCCGGCCTATTGATTCATCTTCGGTATTACTTAAGACTTTTTAGCGACTTATAATTAAGCATTTATTCTCGTCTCTTGATTTTTGTGATTTCAATCAGTTTGCTTATCGTGAGCGTCGCTCTACTTTAGATGCGGTTGCTTGTCTTATACATTCTATTTTATCCACTATAAACAAAAAACAAAAAAACTGTTCACGTTTGTTTCTTGGACTACGCAAACGCGTTTAGCTCTGTTGACAGAAACATCCTTATGTCACTGTTGCAGCAACATACTCTCCCACCACCTCTTTTGAATTGGATGCACGACCGACGCCAACTCACTTGTCTCAATGGTATTAGGTCTTCCAATGTTATCGTAAATCAAGATGTAGTGCAGGGTGCAATTTCATCCCCTTTTCTGTTCTCCTTTTACATCCATATTGGATGAATAATTGACTCTTGACTTAGATAACAAGCAGACAGCCCTTTATTTTAATATTTGCCCGGATCGGAAAGTGTACCGGCTGTGTACGGAAACAGAATTAAGAAGAGCCAATCGGAGCATTCGGGTCATAGGCCATCGCATTCCTCCTTTTGCCTAAGCCAGAACTGTTGGCTGAATCTGGATTCAGATGGAACAATGTAATTCAATGATCCGTGGTTTAAATTCAAGATTTCCCCACTTTTCTGGGTCAATATCGTCAGAAACAGGTTTAATATTTAACATTTCAGGGAAACTACTTCCTCTTTCTACGAAGGAATTCCTCAGTAAAGATGGTACAGATAAATCGTTAAAATGTATGCACTAAGGAGTTGTGGACGACAACGTTATCCAACCAAAAGAGTTGTTTCTTATCTCACAATGATGGGTGGATGGGTGACAATTTGATTTTCACATCCCTGTAGGTTGCACA